TACACCCCCCTCCCTCGCACGCACATGCACGCACACACAGGCGCGCGCGCGCACGCACACGGAGACTGCTCCCTCCTCTCCATCTTTCATGTTCGCGGGGCGTGGTGAGGCGGAGGCAGCGGCAGCCTCGAGACAGACGACATGGGTCCCCCTGGGCTGGCGGCGCGGTCTTTCTTTCCCTCTCTCTCTCTCTCTCTCTCCGACACAAGCACACACACACACGCACGCGTACATAAGACTCCCACCACAACGACTCCAGCCAGAAACCTCTGAAAACGTCAAGTCAGATGAGCCGCGCGGCGAGGAGCCCGGGCTTCATGCCGGGTGGGCCACGAGAGACGGAGTGGGCGATGCCATTCCCACGCGGAAAAGCGAATGAACTCGTTCAAAACATCCGGCCGGGCGCGGGCCGCGAGTCCCGAGAGCGAGCGTCCCGTCCCGACTGGCAGGCGGACGACTCTCGATTCGACGAGTAGGGCGGCTCCCTCGCCACCATATTGCCTTGGACGGCTGCGCCCCTGGCTGCGCCTTGAACGGCTGAGCCCCTGGCTGCGCCTTGGACGGCTGAGCCCCTAGCTGCGCCTTGGACGGCTGAGCCCCTGGCTGCGCCTTGGACGGCTGCGCCCCTGGCTACGGATCTGGCTGCGCCCCGGGCAGGCTGCTTCCTGTGGCGCACCCTGACTCGCGATGGCCGAGGCGCGGCGGCGGCCACTTGAGCCTCAGCGCGCCGGGCAGCCGCGCCCCGCCACCACATTGCCTTGCACGTCTCGACGATGTGAATTGTTTTGGATATGAGGGAGGGGAGGGCCCGTCCGTCCGGCGTCGCTCGGCGCGGGGGAGACGCCGTAAGCCGCGAGGCTGTACGCTCCCCGGGCAGAAGCGGACTGGAGGGGTCCGGACTGGAAATTATTCAACGACCGCTTGCGCTGGTAATCGAGTTAAGGCCGTGGCGCCGCGCAGACTGTGGGCTTCGTTACCGCGGCGGGGCGGGCGCGGCGGGGGCGGGGCGCAGAGTAAGGCGACGATGAGCTCAAACAGCCGCACTCGGCAGAAGCACCAAGCGCGC